TAACTTACTATCCTAGTCATCTAGATTCTTAATTCTTAATCTTGAATCTTAAACTGAGTACTATCCAAAACCAAAAATGATCAATTGGTGTTTTGGCGAAGATAGTTACAATTATAATTGTGTAGCAAGTTGTGTTCACTGCTAAGCGCACCCATGCCTTCTGAACCGAAGCAACACAAAGGATGACGACGCTGAGAGCCTGTCGGAACCTCGGAAGCGCAAACGCGAAGATGAAGGCGCGAAGCATCGCATCAGTCTGAAGTCGTTGCAAGTTCTAGGTTAAAAGTAATCTAAAAATATAACTGTGGCAGTCTGGCACATTCCGAGTGCATTCCGGGGCTCTGAGCCAACAGCCGATGCACCCCTGCGCAGGCCGCAGCAGAGAGACGCGCGACGGAAGCTAAAGCAATGGGTGATGTGTGGCGCAATTGTACGCCTGACATCCGTGCCAGGGCCTATTTGAGTCCCAGAATCCTAGAATCAGAGCCGTAGAATCTTGAGCGTGCCGTGAGAGTTTGAGTCGAGCTTGAGTTTTTTGAATATGAGACTCTTAGACAGGCTCGGCTAACAGAGTCTGGTTACTGTAGTTTGTTTGTCGGCCATTTTAATCTGACAGCGGGCTGCGGCTTCGGAGTGGAAAAGACACCGGAGATTGCAGGCGTGCAGCTGTATGTGACATGTCTGTGATGCAGTCCTACGTTCTTTCAGCTTAGGAAATTGATTAGAGTCAAGAGTCAAGAGTCAAAAGTTTAGAATGCGGGATCTGAGGTTAGATCTGCCATGGCGGAGATCTACCTGCGTTCCCTGACCAAAGGCTGCGGCGTAGTTCAGCAGGAGCTTCCGACGAGTTTTACGAGCATTGTGAGTTGTGTGAGTTACACTGAATGACATGGGAACAAGGAACAAGTAAGGCCTCCAGCATCTTGGTTCATTCTGCGTTGCGCGCAGCTGCTTCGTACCAGTACGAATTACGAATCACGAATTACTAGCTCTGCTCTACTAGTTACGACCGCTGGGCCGTTAGAAGGCGAAGCAGACTGTAACTGTAGCTGTGCATTTTTAAATTTTAAATCTTAAATGTTAAAGTTTAACACTGTTAAACTGTCATGATCATGACATGTATTTCTACTATCTACAGAGCTAGCTTATCTTCGACTCGAGTTGGTCTTCGCCGATGTCTTGTATCAGACGCTACCTAAAGCCAGCAGACCCCACAACTGTCCGTCATCCGCGCGACAGGCGCGTCCATTCTGCGCATTGGTGAACATCGAGTTTGACGAGACTTCGTCTAAGACCCGGCTTCGAGCAGGCTTGTTGGAGGTCGAAGCCATGTACCCATTCATGGCACCTCGACTAACCAGTAGCCATTTCCGGTTACGCTAAGTGTTCAGCTAGTGTTGTTTGATGTTGCAGCCCTGTAAAGACTCGAAAACCGCTTGTAACGAGTTGTTGAAGTTCTGAAGGAGCCTTTGCGGCAGCGGCGAGGGAGTAGCCGCGAAGTATCAGCTGATTAGTAATTCTAGTGACGCTGTGCCAGCCACCAGGTCCAAAGATGCGAGCTTTACGTACTACTCACTGCGGATTCTCCGGCAATCGCGAATCTGCGCTGGCATTATTAGGATTCGCTACATGACGCTGGCGTCATTAAGGCTTCGGTTCTTTTTTTTGCGAGGCATGCTTTCTTATCTTTTCATGAGCCATGATCAATGTTTTGTCACAGTCAAAGGTGTCATGTGCCATGTGCAATGGACAACGCGCAATGTAGCAGCGATATAGTTGCTCAAGATTTAAAATTTTCAACTACAACTGTAAGTACTTAGCAGTATTTACTATATTCGAGTCGAGTCTATGTAGTTGCTGCTTTTGTAATTTGTATCTACAGTCGGTAGTTCGTTCCTAGTTGCTAGCGCTACTGTGCTCCAAACTATCGACCAACCGTGCCATACGCGGACGAAGGATGACAGGACTGCCGACATCTCCAGCATTTCTCCGCCGGGCAACTGCAGAAGGTCTCTGGCAAGCTATACTCCAAAAACATCCTGTGCCGTTATGGAGCGGCCTGGCAGTCTAAGCTAAGCAGTCCAGCTTAAACTATCTCAATGTAAATATTATGTAAGTGTGAATCTACGGCGCAATCCAGACTGTGGTCTAGAGTCAGAGTCTAGAGTCTAAACTGCAGTCGTCCACGTAGGGAGTTGTGCACAGGAAAGAAATAAATTTCAGGCGTTGCAAATATTTGCTGCGTTTCAACAAATTCAAGCTAGAACAGTCCAACTAACTCAATGTTAGGTTTAGTTTAACAGTTTAACTTGTGCGCATGATTTGTAACTTGTGGAGCTGCGGCAAGTTACTCGAGGTCCCTCATTGACCGCCCAGCCCATTGCCCGTGTAGGAGAGTTGAGAGCGAGATGATCAGGTAGTTCTAGGTTCCAGGTTGCAGTTCTCGGTGCAGCGGTATATAAATGAATGTTATATTATATTACGTCGGCATGGATTGAATTGAGATACAATGTCCGACTCGCTCGGACTCACTCATGAGTCATCATGAATCATGGGTCACTCAAGTGACTCAAATGCAACGTTAACCGTTAAACTAAGTTTAAGCTAACTTACAATCCTAATCCTCAGGATCTGTTTCTGGAGTTAAGCTAGCCTAGAGTCTTAGAGCCCTCAGTACAGACTTAGCTTCTACGTGCGCGCTCAGTCTCAGGCTGGTCGGAGCACGCAGAGCTCTTCGTGTTGCGCTTGGTGTGCGACGACGCGTCCGCAAACCGACGGATGGTGTGGGCTGGCGTCGTGCCTCAGAAGCCGAGCAATTGCTTGGTTCTGCACAAAGTGTGTGATATGTTTTCCGGCAGCATGTCTGACGGTTCTCTTTCAGGGCGTGGCCTATCGGATCTCTCAGCCAAACATTGGCCAAAATACCCTGCCCTAAGCCCAAACCCCTAAGGCCCTAAACTAGGCCCTAAACCCTCAACCTAAGCCCATGGCCCAAAACCCAAAACCCTAGCCCGAAACCCTAAACACCAAACTTACCCTAAACGCCCTAAACCCTAAACTAAACGAAACCCAAAACTCCAAAACCCTAAACCCTAACCCTAAACTTGCCCTAAACTAAATAAACCTACGCCCTAAACCCTAAGCCCGAAGGCTAAAAGTTCAAGGTTAACCTCAAAAAATGACTAATAACACATCGCCTGAGCAGCCTGACATGTTTGCTGCTAAGGCACAAGCTACACAACTCCATCGAGCCAATCTGGCGCGGGATGAAGTGTCTCACTCCCATGCGTCTTGGTCGCCGGTGATCTTAAGTGTTGAGTTGTAGATTGTGGAGAGCAAAGTCAAGCAGTGTTATCGCCGAGTCATCGCCAGCGCGGTAACCACCAGTCCACTTTCCATGCTGAAAGAAAGTGAAGTGCAGTGAAGCGAAGAGTCAAATCGCACCAAAGTCAGAAACGGTCACACAATCTCGGCGCAGTGTTCGAAGCTCTTAAGTCTTAACTCTGAACTCTTAACTCTTAACTCTGAACTCTTAACTCTGAACTCTTAACTCTTAACTCGTAACTCTCAACTCTTAACTCTTAACTCTTACTAACGTAACAAAATACACGCTCACGCTAAGGTTCTACACTGCGGGATTCCTGGCGGGTGGGTCCAACTACTTGGAGATGCTGCAACACATAGAGGCGTGGATCTTTGCGCCGGACACAGTGAAGGTTGTGTACTCCTATGAATCAGTGCGCCTCGCTTTTGCCTTAACGAAAAAGAAGATACGTAGAAGTTCTAGAATCTAGAGCTCCAGAGATCCATAGTCGAGGGTTGGGGATGTAAGAAGTTATCTACCTTTTCCTGCAGAAGACATACTGAGGCCTGACCCGGCAGTGCGTCATGCAAACAAATGTATCCTGAAACTGGCCCTTGGGCCAGAGCCAGCGGAGACTGAGACAGATGACCACGCGCGAGCGCGCAGGAAGAGATGGGAGCTTGGTCATGAATTGCTGGATCTGGATACAGGGCACTGGGGAGATGCCCAGCATATTGTTCATCATTGTCGAGGACTGTCCTGCTGTGCGAACGGAATCCGGCAGACTCGGGCGCGGCTCTGGGTTCTCATCACAGCACCTTGGCCAATGCAGCCCTGCAGGCCTGTAGGCTATGTAGGCGTGTAAAGTGCATGGCTTGTCCATGTCAGTGTCGTCGTTAACTCAGTCGACTCTTTATTTAGTCAATTTAGTAATTAGTCTTGAGTCTTTAGTTTAAAATTTAGTTTAGTGATAGTTCAGTGAGGCGCTCATCTTCAGCGTTAAGCCCACGACTCCAGCAGTATCCCGATGGACATTGTGCGGAAAGTCAGCCCGTTACTTTCTGCGGCTTGGAATGACTTGGACTTCGTTTTCGAGTTTTCGAATCAGAATTCTTCTTCCGTGAGGGCAGGTAGGTGGGATGGCACAGTGTGTCTCCGTCGCCGTGTGAGTTGGCACATACTCAGTTCGTTACGATTCCTTACATAACCTCATGTAGCCTGCTAAGTGCTAAGCCGCTACCGCTACGCGTAAACTTTACGACTTTACGACGATGCAGAGTAAATGGAGTAAACTATACTCGCAGAAGAACAGTAACATGAAACTGAAACATGATACTAATCATCAGGAATCAAGAGTCAAGAGTAATCAAGAGTCAACAACCAGACACGCGTTCTGTCAGTTTGCTTGTGGCGATTTGCGCCGGTCAAATTTAACTTGATAGATTCACTGGGCAGGCTTTACCTCAAGCTAACTTATACTAAATTAAATTAACTAAACGTGTATAAACTTGTTTCAGAGTCAAAGTTAACCCGGACGCATCTGGTGTCTCACGCACCAACGATGATATAGCAGTGATGTAGCTATTTCGTGACAGAGTCAAAACTCAAGACTCAAGACTTAAAAATCAAGACACTTCTGAGGCTGTCAACAGCGTACCATCGGATCCTCTTGCAGGGCTTCAGCCGGCTTCACAACATGAAGCCTGCTACCCTCAAGAGGAATTTCGAGGAAAGCAACGAGCTAGTGACTGCTTCCACAATCATTTTGGATGCCGTGGAGCCCGCAGCCAACACAACCACATTGTACCAAAAAACGATGCGAATCAAAGCTTACAAATGCTACTGCTGGCTTCAAGATGCGAACACGGTGTATGACTTGCTGATTACTTGCGCGTGCATTGGGCCCATGGAACACATCATGCATGTGTTCATGCTGTGGCAGCAGCGCGGCATGCACTTATCTCCAACGGAGTCGCCGCTAGTCCAGATGACATCTTCGGAGAAGTCACCCGCTCAAAGAGCCGTACGTCAGCTGCTCGACATACTTGAGACCGGCCGCATCGATCATGAGTCTCCATCGCTGCAGCAAATCGCTGAAGGACCCTGGCAGCACTTGGATGTTCCTGTTGAATTGAATCTGTTACTGTTGGGTTGAGTGTTGAGGTTGAGTCATGGGCCATGGGTCATCAGGCATCAGTCATCAGTGTCCCAGTGAGTCAGTGAGTATTAATTTATTTGTATTAGTGAGATTCTAGATTCTCGATTCATTTTGGATTCTAGATTCTACAGGTTCTATAGTATTGCTGCGCTTGACTTCAGCGCAAAAATGCCATGATGAGATGAGTTTGCTCATTAAATTAGAATGTTTTAAATTTAAATTTAAATTTAAATTACTATATATATGTATGTAAAAAACTGAACTTAACTGCTCGGTCTGCTAGTCCCGGCCGACTCGGATGAGAAACAATTTTGAAGTCCCGACCAGTTTAAACAATCTAATAGCTTAGGAATGAATTAACATACCGTGTTGTTACAGAACTTCAGAGCAAAAGACATTTCTGTCTCTCTAACTCTTGACTCTCGTTGGATAGCGTCCTCACATACTCAGTCATGCGTAAGCAGAATCACGATAGATACTGGTTCGTGGCAATCTTCGGGAATCTTCAGGTGACTCTTGTGACTCTTGGGATTCAACCTTGCTAGCCATGTTGCACGATCCAGTATTTTCAGTTTAGTTTATTTTTATGTAACTTAACATAAAAAGAAGTTGTTTCGCACTCGTCGTTGGACATACTGTGACATACAGATACATTACATTACATCATGAAGCTGCCGGTTTGTTGCTAATGATTCGTAGCTTTTGTAACAGAATTGCCACATAGGTCTCCCTGACCGAGCACCGCCGTGGTTCCTGGAGAAGACTTTCTGGTGCTTGGTGACAGGCGTGGGCCAGCTGACAGAACGGCTCATACGACCATATCAAACGTTACCACTTTTGCTGGGGCGTTTGACCGATGAGGACCGATGCCTGAACGAGCGACGTGTCATCGCAAACTGGTTTTGCAGGCGTCCTGCCTGCTGCTTGGACGCCGGCTTCAGCAAGGAATTACAGGCCAGGGCAACTCAGGCGGAAGATCTTGTTCCGGGAGGACGCCTATACGGCGTTCTACAGATGGCCTTCGCTGGGAAAAACGTGAACATAGAAGCGGAGACGAACTTCGCTCGTGCTCAGAAAGCACAGCAGTCTACACAAGGGCGGAGTGCATTGAGCACGAGTATGGCTGCCAAGCACGTTCTTGCAGAGGCGAAGCGCTACCACTTGCAGGACGTAGACGCGAACCTGTTACTTCTGAGAGAGCAAGCAGCACAATGTGATGCGCTGGCCGGTACGCCGTCAGGACATTGGGGGGGGGGGGGGGGGGGGGGGGGGGGGGACTTCATTTCTTTACTTTTACGTTTAGTATTCTGATAAGTTCTGTCTAAAATTCTAAAATGCTACAATCAAGTCAGTCAAAATTGCGTGACGCGTGTCAACTGTCAAGCTGTCCACGTTGAGATTTAATTAGGTAGTTCCCGTGCTCCAGGTGATTGCTCAATACTAAATACTAAAGTTTGGATTCCAGGCGGTTCCGCCAAGTTGATGCATTTTATGATGAAGAAGTAATCACATCCGAGCCCAAAACAAAACTTGCACTATTTAATTTTAAGTTCAAGTTTAAGTTTAAGCTAGTTAAGGTTTGGCACTCGAGTGGTAGACTTTTGGATCTTGCTTTATCAAAATCAAGAACAAGACTGTAGATCGTATGATCGTATGTGTATGTGTAAGTTGTACGCCTCGCTACCCTGCCTCCATTATCGCTCACAGGCTGTAGTAGAAATTTAGCTTCATGTTACAGGTGTCGTGTCGGGTCGAGACTCGAGGCCAGACACAATGTGCACGATCACTGTATATTAGTTGAATATAGTGCGCTTATTTATCTAGTGAACCTGGCAAGAGTTGAGCATCTTGCGTCCTCAGGCGCAAGATCTGCCACCAAGAGCCTCAACGGGTACACTCTTCTCCTGCAGCAGACTATGGCTGCTCGTGTGCGGCTACCAGGCGAGTCTGCTGAGGGCTGTCGCAAACGCGTGTTCAGCGCGGTGCGACAGAAGTGGCAGTCGTTGTCTGTTGCTGATCGTGCAGTCCTCACAGAGCAAGCGAAAGCCAGCAACCAGAATGAGATAGCAAGGCGGCGTCTCGAACAAGGGCAGCAAATTGCGCCTGCAAGCGTCGCGAACCAGAGGCCGACTGCGGAGCAGCAAGTTGCAAATGCTGAACATCAACAAGATGCACTGGTGATGGCACGCCCAATGACAGCCGGGCCAGCGAGGGTTAATGCAGTGGCACCTTTTCAAGGGTTGGGTGCAATGGGTGTCGGTGACAAGTCGCATGCTGTCAGCGCAAGCTTGGTCAAGCGATTGCAAGACGAGAACAAACAAAACAATGGGCAGCAACAGTTCGTAGTTAACCTGGACAGATCATGGCGCGAGCGCACCCGTGGGCGCGTTGGCGAAGTGAATGAGTTCAAGCAGACCACTCGCATGTCGTGCCACGACGAGTTCAAGTGCGCTATGTGTTGCAAGGAAATCAAAGATGGCCTAACGCAAGAGCAGGTGTCGGAGCAACTGCTCACGTTTGTGAGCAATTATCGGCACAAGTTTGTGGTGAACAAGAAGAACACAGGTCCGAACAGTTTGGTGCAATATCCGTTGTTGGCGGTCGTGCAGTTCTTTGGCTTTCTTTCTGCACCGTTTGAACGTTTGGACAATTTATTTTGAATTTTGAATTTGAATTTATTGAATTTTGAGCACACTCTGGGCTGTCCAGGGCCAGTGGCGATCACTTTGTCTTCCGCTTCTGGCTAATGTGTCGTGCCCAATTCTCACCATACCGAGCAGACTTCTGGGAATGGCACGCAGCCGACGAGTCTCACACCACAGGGATTTGTCTTCAGCCTTGCATGATTGGGGGTGTGCCGGAAATTCTGACGCATACTCAGCTGGCGTGTCGATTGGTGGAAATTCAGGCCACCATGCGATGGAACATTGTCACTTACACAGCCGCTTGTCTGAAACATTCGACTCAAACGGTGTGTGTGTGTGTGTGCTGGATACACGCTCTAGTCTCTAGACTCTAGACTCTAGATTCTAGTCATAGCCGCTCGTCGCGTGCCTGGATTTTCTGGATTTTCTACCTTGGCGGAAGGTGATCCGACTGAATCGACTTTTGGTTGAAATCAACGTCAGCGACACAGCAGCTTGGAACGTTGTGGGCGATGAGAGCTCCAAGCTGGACTGCAGCTCTGACGAAGAAGATGATTCGATTCAGTCTGCTTCAGCCTTTCTCTGCGCTGTCGGTGCCGCAAAGACGAAAGCCGCTCCGCGAAAACAAACTGGTGTCAGGCGTGCCAAAGCACCCAAGACACGGCCAGCGCCAACATCAGGCACGGTGTGAGTTCACTGAGACTGAGACTGAGACCATGCAGGATCACTCACGATTCACAACTAGCGATTCATGATTTTCAGCTCATGGGTTCATGCCTTACTTGTAGGCAGCTCATGGGTTCATGCCTTACTTGTAGGCAGTGGCGCCGCTACGACTATGGCAGTGGATGCTGATAAAGTGGATGACCCCGAATTGCTTTTGTCGTGGAAAGAGGCCCACAAGGCCGTAGCTTTGACGTGCTGGCGTTTGCAGTTACAGGAACAGTAACAGTCATAGTGGGTCGTTTCCTTAGCCGTAGCCGCGCCATAGTGTCATAGCAGTATGTGCAACGTAACACAGAAGAGTGTGCGTGAAGAAGTTAGTTAATTAATTGGTTTACTGGTTTTAGCAATAACTTTTAAACTTTAAATTTCAAATGCTGTTGAAAGTTAAAAGCAGCTACTCAGGAAGCGGGTGAGTACGTGGCCCAGCCAGCTCAGCCGTCATCGGCAACTGCAAATGCATCCAGCAGCAGTTCAAGACCACCAGGTGTGCCAGCCAAACCACAACTGACGGGACGTTTCCAGATTGTGAATGAGGACGGCAACACAATCAGCGTCGCTGAGGGAGGGTATGTTATGGAGACAGGCAGTTCCAGAGCGATAGGCAAGTGGTTGCGAAACTCAAGCATTGTAATTGTAATGCTTCGCTAAGTTGTAGTAAATTAGAAGAATTAGTTCAGTTCAATCAGATAATTCGAGCTTGCAGTCAGCGATTCAATCAGTCGGAGTTTCAGCTTCAATTCGCGAGGCCGGATCACCGAATTGAAGATGGGGACACCACAACATACTGTGGCGTTCACTTGCTATTTGCACCGCTCCTGCAAAACAATGAAATTGCTGAGGAATATGCCAGACAATTTCCAGGCCTGATCATTTTTCGTGATTGACTGAAAGCCCACAGACAGCCATATAGTTCTTCTTGTCCGTGTAGCGAATCCCATGAGTCAGAGGGTCTGCGGATGGTTATTTGAATGTGATGTGTGATCAACACCGCTGAACATGTATCAGTCCCAGGCTGGGTTTCTGCGCTGGCTTTCAGTGGGTCGGAGACATGCGAGAGATATGGGCCCTGCTCACATGAAGGAGCCGCTTGATGTCAAGCAGCAGATGATGATGATGATGATGATGATGAAGATGATGATGATGATGATGACTGATTTTGACGATGCTAGTGACTAGTGAGTATTAAAGATTGACGACTGATGATTGATGATAATGATTAATAATGATGATGGTTTGTACAGCTTGCGTTTTTGTTAGATTCTATGCAGCACCGTCGCCTAAGGTTCCGGCCACTTGTTGAACGTGGAGAGCTTTGAGGGGTCAGTAGGGTGAGACTTGCAGCATGGCCAGCATGGCCAGAGCAGCACAAACATACTTGCGTTGCGTTTCTTGCCCTGCAGCTGCATCTGCATGATGGTGCGACATGTGACATGTGAATCATGAATCATGATTGAATCATGTGACAGACTCCGTAATGCTACCGTGCCACGCTTAAGCAGGTGGCGCACGCACACCGCGCGCCGGCACGCCCCGCGACCCGCGTGCACTGCACGCGCACCGCGCGTGCACTGCGCGCGCATGCGCCGCGCACGCCGTACGCCGACGCGCGCAGGCGTTGCACGCACTGCGCGCGTTGTGTGCGCGGACTGTTCGCTCCGACTGTTCGAAAAAAAAACACAACCAATTTTGAAAAAAAACACAACCAATTTTGAAGAAAACACAACCAATTTTGAAAAAAAACACAACCAATTTTGAAAATGCGTGCAGTCGTACGGTTTGCACGCAGCGCGCGCGCAGGTGCGCGCAGTGCGCGCGGGCGGGTGCGCGCAGTGCGCGCGGGCGGGTGCGCGCAGTGCGCGCGGGCGGGCGCGCGCAGTGCGCACGCGTAGCGCGCGCAGTGGCGCACGCAGTGTGCGCAGCGTGTACGCAAGCCGCGCGCGTAGTGTGGGGAGGGGGGGGGGGGGAGATTCTCACACATGCAATTGCTATACGTTTGCGCGGCCGTATAGTCTCTCGCAGTCGACTTTGCAAGTCGACGCCCTGACTCTTGTGACTCCAGCCTTCTGCTCGCCTACTTGTGACTTGACTTGTGGGATGGCATCGCACGCGGGCAGTACGATCAAGCTATCCAAGAAGATGGAACGAGCGCTGGGCTTAACAGGCGAGAAAGTGCCTGTGTGCCCTGAGGGGTGCCGCCCGGCTGTTGTCTGATCTTTTAGCTTTTTTTTAACTCTTAACTCTTAACTTAACTTTTAACTTTTAACTTTAATTAACTCTTCTTAACTGTCTTGACTCTGAACTCCTAACAGGTCTTCAGTCTTCAGGTAGATCTGAATGGCTTGAGTTTCGTGTGTGAGTCTTGCGTTCCATCCGAGGTGTGTTGCCTGAAAGTTACAAGATCAAGCGCTGCTTTTACTGTAAGTGCTGGTCGCTTGATGCGTGTCCGTGGCCTCTAGATAACACCACACTTTCCCAATGGGCACCGCTCCTGCCGTGGGCCCGCGGCACGAAGACAAAGCCGTCGGGCGAGCACTGTAAACCGTGCCTTATAGTTCCTGGGCTTCTTTTAGGTTGGTGAAATGAATGTGCTAGTTGTTCTGCTCAAAGTTCGAAGTTCAAAGTTGAATTTGCATCTCAGGTCTGGACACAGGGAGGATTCGAAGCAGAATTCACGACGGAAGCAAGATTCAGAAAGGCTATAGAAGAGAATCCAGCAGTGCTTCATCGCTTCAGTGCGGCTCTGTTGAAAGTGTTTAATTGATTTTTGGATTGAAGTTTAAGGGTCTGACATAACTCGCACTTCGTGGCATTGCTGTCAGGCTGTGAGGGTTCAGCTGATCCAGCTCAAGATTGCCGATCCTCATATGAAGTTCCGGCTTGAGCTGAACCTCAACCGTGATGTTGTTAGCACGAAGGAGAAAGTCGAGTCTGGGCTGGAGGCGCCTGAGTCGTTCTTTGTCGAGCTCTCGGCATATCAGGATGAATATGGTGAGGCCGATGCGAAGGAAATCGTTTTTGAAACTGTGGAGGGTGTCATGACAGCCGGAGCGCCTCTGCCGCTTCACATTCGCGACGGCGAAGCCGCATAACCTATTATTACTATTATTAAGTGATTCTTTTTACTTAACTTAAATCATAAATTACTTTACTTCTTTCAACTTCTTTAGATTTGAAGAGTCGTGTGTGCTTGTTGGGCACGTTCCGTTACGCTGATGTTTGTTTTTGATTCTTTGTTCTTTATGATTCATGATTAGTTTGCACGTAGTTAACTTGTTCTTCAACTTATTCTGATGTTAAGCCGATAGCCGTTAAACGCATTAAGTACGCGATCACATTCCGCTACACAAAGCTTTCACCATCAGCCACCCCAACTCCTGACCCTTTGAGCTGAGGTGAACGTCCTCACCGGCAAAGTCGGATGGCACAAACGCGTGAACAAGAGCACGAAGGCAGTGGAGCGAGCCACCGAACTGACAGATGAGGTCACCCTGGACCCGCAAGCTGCGGCCAAGATGTATGCTGCAGCAAAGCAGCAGGTCATCAAGAAACCCGTGGCAAGCACAATGATCAAGCTGCTGCAGCGTCCTGCGATCACTGCTGGTCGTCTTACATTAAAATTCAAAGTTCAAAGATTAGGAATTAAGAATTTTGCTTGAACTTGGACGCAGACGTCAGAATTTTTGAGTTATGCCTAGCTGAGGCTGTCTCCGACGCCCCCCCTTCAGCCCCATCATCGTCGTCGAAAACAACCTTGAGCCTTCCGCCCAGTAGCTCAGCAAGTGCCCATGTTGCTGGCAGTGTGGCTGGTGATCCAGATTCAGCCTCCGAGTCTGAGTCTGAGGAGGAGAAAGCATGCTTTGGCATGATGGATCTCCTGCGATCTTATGCACCTGCAACGGAGCACAAGCCAGCTGCCAAGGCAAAAGCAAAAGCGCCCAAAGCCCGTGCTGCTAAGCCAGCGCATGTGGGCGAGCCAGCTCCCAAGAAGGTTCGAGTGGCGGAAGATTCGACGAGCAAGCCTGAAAGGCGAAAGAAACGCAAAGCAGGGTTTGAGCTGGATGAGGAGGTTACCGATCTGTCTGACCTCTTGGGCACCGAGTTGTGCGAGGCTGACAATGAGGTGGTGCAGCAGTTCCGTGAGAAGTTGGACGATCTCAAGTGCCTGAACCCGCCTCTGGCCGACTCTGGCTTCAAGAACAAGCTCACCGAGACCTCGACAGCTCTCAACCAAATGAAAGCCGATCTGAAGGCCAAGAAACGCTCTGCGCTCAGGCGAGCTCAGAAGGAGAACGACCCGCTTTACATTGCGCTGGACGTGGTGGAGAAAGCGGTGATGCGCGTCCTACAGTTGGTCAGATGCGGCTCGACTTAGCTGCCTTCGCTATGACTTAACTTAACTTAACTTAACTTAATTTAACTGACAGCCCATTTTTTTTAATAATAAGAGGGAAGGTGGGCGGGAGAGATAGATAGATGGATGGAGGGAGGGAGGGGATGCAGGGTGAAAGGAATAGAGAGGAGAGAGTTAGTCTGTCACCGAGACCTGCTGGGAACATCTCAACTTGATGCCACGAGCGACCTGCTTGTCATGCTCGACACTGCGGAAGAGGATGATGGCTTAAAGTTCAATGGCGCTGTCTTGCGTCGAGCGCTGAAGTCCAGGGCCAATTCCGATTTCAAGATGCAACGATGGGAAGCTCTGACCACCCACACCTTTGATGTGATTTCCAAGCGCTTCATCCAGGAAGACGACGGCGTTGACTGTGGTGCGTTCATTACTCTGCTCTGTTCGCAGATTTGGCAGAAGCTCTTGAAGACCACAACAACTGCAACAAAGTCGAAGGACTGTAGTATCAATATCTAACTCGACTCAAATCTAATCGCAATCTAATCTAATCTAATCATCTAATCTAATCATATCATTAGTCACTTTCTTTCCTAATGGCTAATCAGCTAATCATATCT